TACCATCTTCATATTTATAGATTTTCTCAGCCGAACAGTCGAAAGATTTTTTAACCAGTATCACGTAAAACAAAGAAAAAGCTCTGTGAAGTTTGGAAGGCTGAAAAAAAAAATACTTAATGTACAAGTTTTTATTTGAATCATGTAAGTTTTTCCATTTCTGCTCCAGAGTATCGGTCACAAAAAATCTAATATTTTGTTTATTGCATATGTAAATGTTCACATACAAAGTGTTATTAAATCTGTGAACCCTTATTCAAAGATGAGTATGCAGCCTCACTCTAAAAGTTGAAAGTGCTAGAAAAAAAAAACATGTTTTTAAAGAACTGTTTTGGCTGTGTACCGACAACTTGTTCCTTCTCTGATAATTGTTTTAAATGAACCACAGACTTTAATAAGTGTATCAGTGTCTGTGTGGATGTTTTTGTTAGAGAGCGAGTGTCAGTTAAAGGTAGTTTGCTGGCTTTTTGTGCCATAGCTTAAACTGTACTTTTTCTTATCCCAGCTTAAACTGTGTTTCCGTTACAGGGCCGTGTTTTATCCTTGCTTGAACTGCTTACCCTCGAGACAAAGGCTGTGTTTGTATCTGTGCTCGAAAATCAGCTCCACTCAGAGGAGACGAAAACAGAAAAAAGGGACAAAACAGGCTCGGACTGTGAACTCAAGGTTATCTGAGCCTGGTGCCACAAACAGAGCTCCAGTATGCTTGTTACAGTTCTGGCCTCTCCTCTTCTCTGGACAGATTAGGGCTGAGCTGGAAGGCGTGGAGCGAGTACACACACTCGCTTTTACCCTTTGTCTCTAGAACAACAGCCTGGAAGGGAAGATTTTACTCAGGGCAAATTGTACACAAACTGCTGTGTGATGAAACATACGTAATCCTCGTGTCAGGCAAGAAGATTCTGGCCGTGCAGAACAACACCATGCTAACATGGTCTGCAAAGAGAAATCTTTCCACATTTCCCCTCAGAAGTCTTGAAAAAAAATCTACTTTAAAATTAGTTTAAAGTAGGGAGATGACCTTTCACAGGACCAAAAGTTAGAGGTTAATGTTATTATTATCTTTGGACATTTTTATTAGGGCCGACCAATATGGGATTTTTGGGGCCAACACCGATATCAATTTTTGGTAGAGAAAAGAAATCAGATACCGACATATCGGCCAATATCTTTCTTAGATCTATGTTCAATCTGTAGAGATAGATATACACATTTATCCCTCAAATGCAGTTAGCAAACACTTGTGGAAAAGACTCAGAGTATAAGGAAGACAAGATGGTCACTCAACAGGAAAGTAACTGCATGAACGTGCATCACCACTTGACACGCTCCTAGCATGTATTTGTGCGTGTGTGTGTGTGTGTGTGTGTGTGTATCTTTAAGGTACAAGCTGTCGATGCTCCTAATTGTTACAAGAACACAGCAGAAGGAAACTGCTGCATCTCCAATATATTCCTTATTTTCTCTCTTTCAAAGCGACACACATACACAGAGTCATGCATACACATAATCAATGTCTCCAAACTGTGTAAGAGGGCAGCATGAGCCTCATCAATATTGGAAGGGTGTTGTGTGCATACTGTGGGGTGTGTTGATTTTTGCGTGGTACCTGGCTGGCGTATTACTGACCATCCTGTGACTAATCACACACACACACACACACACACACACACACACACACACACACACACACACACACACACACACACACACACACACACACACACACACACACACACACACACACACACACACACACACACACACACACACACACACACACACACACACACACACACACACACACACACACACACACACACACACACACACACACACACACACACACACACACACACACACACACACACACACACACACACACACAAAAGGAAAAGCACACACACAAACAGCATCTATACACCATTTAGCAGCAGCTCATAAAATAACACAGGGGCCGCCGGCCAATTTGCCAGACGGAGCGCTCCAATTTGACACAAAAGGCCTCATAAGCATGCATCCTCACACCATGCACACACACAGACACACAAACACGCACACAACACACTCATCCAAGAACCCGAGGCACAAACACAAACACACAAAAACAGGAAACACAATAGCCAAACTGGCAAGTCCTAAAGACTCAAATAAACGAGCACAAAGCAACATTTTCACACGCATAAATTCACACTAGGCAAAGACCAACATGGGATTTTAGGCATCTGTATCCCCAATTAATATTATTCAACCAATACTATTCATTAAAAAATAAAATTGATATGCATATAATGAGATATTTTGAGACAGAAGCTTTAACAATTCTCTCAATCATGAGCAGAGCAAAATATTCAGAGGCAGAGATGAGCAGCCTCCGCATATGATGGGAATTATCACTCAGTGCCTGCAGCACGCAGTCATTCTATCCAGCTATTACTCACCAGGGAAAGTGTTAATTAACATTATCTCTACAAAGCTGGGGACTATGGGCAGTAGATCTCTGGATATTTTTACACCTTCTTTATCCACTGTGACAGCTACAAGACCACAGAGGAGACATGCCATCGCCTGACAAGACGAGAAGGTTTAGTGAGCAGAGTAGGACAAGATGACGAGCAAGTGTGGGAGGAAATATTAGCTTTCCTGACTTTGCCTTTCTCCAGAGCTGGTCAGTGGGATTCACTCCAGAACAGTGCATACAGGCACCCAAAGGGACACCAGGAGGCTTACAAAGCCAATTTACCATGTGTTAAATCAAACAATATTTACTTCTGTCTTCTTCTTCCCTGTGTTTGCTGGCACTCTGTTGAAAACTTTCGTGTGATGAGTGCCAACTGCGGATTGGATTGGATTTCACCACCTCGATGCACACAGGCTCGTAGATGTGTAAACAACATTTTAATGCATTCATCCAAACATAGCTCCATAGCGCTACAAGAGATCAGAGTCTCTACTGGAAAGCTGAAATTCCATGGGATTTTATTGACTTATGGCTTAGGTTTAGGTAGCATCACACACTTGAGGAATAAATCCCTTGATATTCTTCTCTCCAATCTCAAATATGCTCACACTACATTTGAATATAAGGGCATCTCATACACTGAAGGATGTTCAGAAAATTGTGAGAGCGGGAGGGAGCAAGGTACTGTCTCAGCTGAGCTGGTATGATCTGATAATCTCACTGAGGAGGAGTAGATGTAAACAAAATAGAGACTGACATGGCGCCACAACCCGCCGATGCTTTGCAGTGAAAAACAAACTGAGCGCTTCTCTATTCTGGATAAAAAATATGGTTGGAGGAGACCAATCAACATGGTCAACCCCTTTTTACAACAAGAACAGAAGTTGAATTGTCTGTTTTACAATATGCTAACAATGCAATACCATCTAAATTTAGCTTAGGGGAAAGAAAGGCTACCATTGCTTAACAACAGCACCATCTCCTTGTAATCTTGATTTGCTCAGAAAGTACCGACATAGTCACCATGAAATATCAAGAATGTTGAATTATCAGGGCAGCCCTGATGAGTCTGCACGCATTCAGGAGGTTCAAGGGTGTCTACTGAGACAACAGTCCTCGATGTATTGGCTGTAGCTTCGACCACCGTCCTTCGCTCTTTAATGGCTGTCTAAAGGCAAAAAGATCAGTCAAACCATCTGGACTCAACGTCAATACCGCCCAAGTTCACAGACCTGATTTTTTCAAAAACTATCAGGGGGGGGGATGAGCCTAGCTTTACTTTGGATGTCACAAACGTCCATGTGTTATTTTACCCATTTCAAATAAACTTTTTAGCTGTATCTTGATCAGATTTGCAATTTCTCTAAATGAGGTGAAAGCCAATAGCTTACCAAAAGTTACTCTTATCACTCTGTACAGAATGATGCAGCAAGTTGACTGTATTGATGACAAAATTGAGTTTGAATTTCGGACATATCAACTCGTGACTCTACCATGTGACTGATCTCAAAGTTAGTAACACCTGTATTGCTCTTGGATTCTTCTGGGATGACTTTTTTTTTTTTAAAGTGTGAAAAGTCTGCCTCAGCAAAAACTACAGTCCAAATTGTGTGAGCTGTGTTATTGTGGCAGCTGAAGAGGTGGACATAAAAAAAAAAAGCCTGCCTCCAAAGCACAGAAAACAGATGATGAGAGGGTCATTGGATTAACCTCTCGGTGGGAAAAGTAGCACTGCCAATGGCAACATTTCAATCGCTACAAACAGACTTTCACTTCTCAATGGACCCTGATGAAGACCTTACAAAGTGTTTATACCCCTGCTGTACAATACAACATTTATTATTGTAACATTTACTGGGTGTTGGATTTATTAAGGTGGAAACATTAGTGTAATAAACCTATATTATGGATTCTTTAATTAAAGGCACATGTTGTTTACATTAAAATACAGGGACATTTATACAGAGGACTAAAACATTAACATTCTGTGCCTACAAACCAGGTTTGAAGTTTGACTAGATAACTCAGATTTATAAAATGGATATTAGCGTTCGAGTTATCTGGTATGTTTTCTCTCCTTGTTCTTTCAGTAATGTTGAGCTTCTGCACAAAAACACTTCTCCCAAAGTGATATGCATCCTGCTGCAAGCATTATCTCATGACCTTGTCCACAAGAGGGGAGACAGGATGTGTGTGTGTGTGTGTGTGTGTGTGTGTGTGTGTGTGTGTGTGTGTGTGTGTGTGTGTGTGTGTGTGTCTATGTGTGTGTGTCGCTGAGGGTGCACAAAAACACTTCTCCCAAAGTGATATGCATCCTGCTGCAAGCATTATCTCATGACCTTGTCCACAAGAGGGAGACAGGATGGGTGTGTGTGTGTGTGTGGGTGTTGTGTGTGTGTGTGTGTGTGTGTGTGTGTCTATGTGTGTGTGTCGCTGAGGGTGTGTGCATTCATGCATGCATCAATGTGTGATTTACAACTATGTGAGCATCCTGCCAATGGGCACAGACGGCCGAGGGAGAGGAGTGTGTCTGGCTTACCAAAGATGTTTGTGGAATGTCCTTTCTTGGCGAGGGGCTTCAGCTCGTTGTGACCCCATCCGTACTGTCTGTAGCTGTCCCACGCATGCTTCATCATCTGAGGGATGATGACACAAAAACAGCTTGTTAGAACATGTGAAAAAACGTCTTCTGATTTGGCAATACAAAGTGACGTCAGCAGTGATGCCCTAAAATAAAGAGGATGATTAGAACCATCTGTTGACTTGCATTTTTCAGTTTAATATCCGCACTGTTGTTGTTTTATTTTACTTTAAGCCTTTATACAAAGTGCTGTGAAACCAAAATAACCCTTGATCTTTAGGAGGTTGTTAGGGGAGTCATGGGTCTCATTCACCAATTTATTAAGATTCTCCTTAAATTTGTTCTTAAGAAATTTCATGCATTTGTGTTCTTAAACAGCTGAAACCTACACTTATTCTGAAAGCTGATGCTGTAACCTAATGGGAAATGTGACATGTCTGTCATTCAAATATCCCTGATATTTGTTGTTATGAAGAAGTGTATTGTGATTGTTTTTTTAACCAAATGCAAGTTCATTTTGCAGGTAAGATCAAACATTGCATGATTGAAACAAAACATGACCATATTGAAATCGTGTATACATGTAAATAAGTGCTTAATTAAGAAAAATGCAATCGCATAATATTTAGCATTGGCAGAGCAAATAGCATTCAAATGTGCTTAAGAGTGCTCTTGAGTGTTCTCAGACGAAGAACAAGTTTTAAGAACCCGATTCTTCTTAAGAACAGTCGGTGAATGAAGCCCATTACTTTCAGCAGAGGTCATTTCCTCTCCAAAACAAAACCTTCCTGATGCTCTTCATTAGCAGACAAAAGATTTCAGGAGAGGCATTAAACATACACTTGGGTCACTTTGCTGTAAAACCAGTGCTTGCTTTTATTTTCTGGATACTAAACCTAACTGTGACCTTTACCGCTTGCCCAAATATCGGCTATATCTGCTATTTCCCAATTGAGACACGACTCTTGTCCCCACTTGGACAATCTGTCCCCATTTAAGTAGACCTTGGTCTGAAATGTGTCCCTGAAAGTAGGTTAAGTCAGAAACACACACACACACACGCACAGAATTACTGGTGGTTTCTCATGGCTGAAGGGAGGGCGTGACCCCAAACACTTTAATCCTGAAGATGATGAGAATCAAAGTTCACTGTTTTGTGTGACCTGTGCACACAAGCCTGCTGTGTACGCTGAACAGCAGGTGTTCCACACACACACAAACACACATATATATCTCTGAAGGTTTAACAAAGACCCCATAAAAAAAAAAACTTTAGTTTGATTATGAAGACATTTCACAAATGATAGATGTGTTTTAAAGCCCTCTGTTTCTATTTCCCTTCAGTGCGTTACTTCTTGTATCAGTAGCTGTTTGTCTAACAGAACAAAATCAGATTTTATTCTCCATGTTGTGACCTTTGAAAGGAGGCTGCAAGAGATCTCGGATCAGGGAGGGGGTTGAGGATAAAAAGAGCAAGAGATTGTGAGATGAGCCCTGACATGGAGGCTGATGCTGAGAAGAGGCGCTTCAGGGCAAATAGAGTAGATGACACAGCCAAGGAAGGGAGAAAAAAAAGTGCCAGCTTTTACTGAAGCACTGCTGCTTCATCTTTTTTTTTTTTTTCTTCAATCTCAAACCTTTTCTCCTCCCCCACAGCCCTTACTCAAGTGGCATCGACAGCCTCAGAAAAGAACATTTCCTGTCTCTGTGGTCGTGTCACTCACTGTCTGCTTTTGTGGACATCTGTTGGTTTCTCTCCCTGTGTTCTCGGTCTACCTGGCAGTTTGCCTATCGCTCCATCTGCCATCATTTCTGAACATGCCCGTCAGCTTGTCACATCATTTCTGTGATGACCTTCAACATGACAATAATGATGATGACTTTGTTAGCACTAATGCCCTGCATGTCTGCTTCATGCTAGATTTCTCATTAAGGTTAATTGTGTTTAATTGGTATTATTTATTATTATCAAGGATGCACTGAACTAGATATCTTCTAAGAAAGATACCTGATGCACTTGCACTAATTTATGAACATGCCTAATTGCCAAAACAGTCGAGTCTTTCCTTAAAGAGCCCATATTCTGCCCTTTTTGGGGTTTGTATATTTAATCTATGTACCTACTTTTGTACGTTCACAATAGCTAAAGTCCGAAAAAAGTGTCTGTTTTCATGTACTGCTCCTCTTTGCTCCCTCTACGCTCTGAGTCCGTCAGCTACGCTCTGCTGAGCCCCCACTGTTAGACCCCATGTGGGCCAAGTCTGCTCTGATTGGTCTGCCGATCCGCTCTGCCGTTATTGGTCAGTTGCTCAGCACGCGTCTCGAAAATTTCAACATGAGCTGCAGGGCTTGCCACAATGAGCCAATGGGCTTAGATCAGTGATCTCACACTGAAAATGACGCCGCACTGACAAAATTTTTTCGAGGGGGGCTAGAACCGAGCGTTACATGCGGCTAATGCTACAGCTAACAGGAGGAGGTAGGAGAAGCCGCGTTTCCACGGACTTTGAATTTTTGCACATAGATGTGCCTAAACATGCACAGGACACATGGAAAACACACTAAAGAGCATATAAAACCAGAAAAAGCATAATATGGGACCTTTAAACACCGGCAAAAGGACACGATTTAAAGACTTAACCAGCACTTTGCCAATCACAGGAACAATCTGAGTAAAAAGACACTTTTCTCATTCGACCAAGAAAACTGGAATATCCATTTCCCTCATACTAGTCCCAGTTGTCCCCAAATTTGTCGAAGCCCACCTCTTCCGTCCTTCCTAGGGCCAAGGACATGTACCATACTTGAGCACGGGATCAGACATCACATTCCAACAACAGAACCAACAGCCTTTCCAAACCAAAGCAAAGACTTGGTTTGATCTAGAATACTTCAAATAAAACAGAATGGGATCATCTCTGGACTGAACGGCTGCACTCAGTCTAACCACTAAGGAAGGGGCCAAGTGAGGAGGGGAGGCGGTGCGCTCAGGGACAATGGATGTATTGCCAAAGAATGATTGTTTTTTGGTCACGGAGACTAGTGCTAAAGTGCGACCTCTACTGGATAATCTGAAGGTCGCCCATTATGCGTTCAAAGATTTATTGGCTAATAAACAACAGCAATATTGTGCATCACTGAATATACTGATATTATAATACTCTTCAATAAACACATGCTTAAATGGTGCACAGTTTGAAATATAATTAAGTAGATTGGTGACAGCTACCCAGCAGCCACCTTGTTTTCCTCTCCTCCCAGGCTTTGCCCGCTCTCTAACTGCTGCCCTCTTTATGCCACCATAAGCATCCAGATCCTCGTCCATCTCGCTCTCTCTCGGCTTGGAGCCGGCCGGCAGCCAAGCTAATAAAGACAAGGGCCGGCAGCTTCATTGTGTTCTTGGCCTCATGGCTTTCCATGACGTACTCCATGCACATGCTCAAGCTTATAAATCAAATGAATACACACCGTGACATGGACACTTAAAGTGTTGGCTGGCTCCCTGCGATCTGTGTTGATTGGATGCTTCATCAAATTCTGATTGGCCCATATGCCAAGGACAAGCGCAACAGTGCAGGGTGCTTGACAATGTTGACAAACTGCTTATTTAAAAAGGACCTTGGAATACTAATTGGACATTAAGCTACAAAATTCAGTGATTGATTCTGACAGCTGCCTCTCGCCAGCACGGCTTCTTGGGAGCTACAAGGAAAGGAGGGAAAGTATTGGATTTGACCATAGTCATAGACATAGAAGTCTAATGAGGTGACAAGGGCATGACAACATCTGCATCAGTAAATAAAACATAAAACCCCCGTATCAAATGGCTACATGTAGGGTTAACAGCTCTTCTGTAGTGCCAAACCACTATAGTGCCAAAAACTGCTTCATGGTTTTACAGCCTACTGTATGCAGTTGCGAAATCATGTTAAATCATCATGTTCAAAACTTTGAGATAGAGGCCATAAATTCAGGTGCTGCGAAAGTGCTGCTATTTAATTTGTGATGGTAATTTTTAGATGTCAATTCTTTGTGGTCAGAAGTGCACACCATTATGTCAGAGATCTTAAATACTGTTTTCCCCTTGTCTCCTACCGTTTGCATTTTAGACAGTGAGCCTGAGAGTATAGCTGGTCCAGTTGTCTCAGGCCTTTAAGCGTTAGGCTGTCTCTCAGTTAAAAGACTGATACTTTTTAACTGGAAGGAGCGAAGCCAGCAGGCTTCATGAAGGAGTCATGGTTGATAGAGTACCTTGACCTGCTGAATATGCAGTCCCAAAAGCAAAACTCAGATCCCTGTGTTTTTTGGAAATCACTCCCTTTAGTAGTTGCCGACCTGCTCCAGAATAGCTGTTTGGAAAATACTGAGGTATTCCACTGAGACTGTGCAACCATCCCTCAATGGTGTTTTCAAGCTGTTCCTTGAACTAAACTAAATTCAAATCCCCCAAATCAAATCAAAATCAGTGCAGGACGGGTATCTGCATATAAGACATGTCCATTAAATCATGTAAAAGGCTCCGATCCTGAATCCTCCATGTTCTCTGTCGAGCCAACTGTCTTCTCTGTGACACTCAGCTGTGACTCCCAGTGAGTCGAGGTGGTTAGTTCTCCTGTCAGTTATTACCGACTGTGAATTATTACATCTGGGACAGCGGAGCGTGACAACAAGCAGCAGCTTGTGGTGTAGGATGAAGAGAGCCTGTTCAACCCTGACAACTCTCCAAAGTAACACAGACAGACAAACACAGTCTGTTCCTTTTTCTGATTCATATTCTTCTCTGTGGCAGCTGCTTGGTAAGGCTGAGAGTTACTGTAATCTGCTCCACAAATATACACTTTACAATGCATACTTTTGATAACAGTTGTCTATTACACCTGTTAAACTTATCATTAACACAGTACAAGAAGTTGCCAATTTTTAGGTCAAAATCAGGACTCAGATGCTGCAGCCTGGGCACATATATATTCTAATTATGTAAACAATGGTATTTTACCAATATCTATATTGGGATAGAGAGTTTTTCATTCATCATTCAGCATGTGGGAATTTTGG